AAAAATATCAGAGGAACAAAAATAGAAACACAAACAAGCCTAAACTAGAAGAGGACCTGCAGGCTGCTCCCAGGTCAAGGGGACAACAAGGTCCATCCATTGTGTTTGTTGGCACAACCAACCTGAAAAAGAGGTGATAATTAAAGAGGGCATGATGTGATTTCGTTATTGGTTATTTTAGATTTAGGAAATTATTATTAAAGTCTTTTTCTTTCTTGCCAAAATTTAGTAATTGGAGTGATCATTGCATGCTGGTCTGACTTTAAGATTGACAACTTCTAACTTCTTAAGGATTGCTAATCACCAGTCCACATCAGGGAATTTTTGGTTATTCATGGGATTAATTAAGAATAAATGATGTTTATTCTTATAGAAGGGTTATTCCACTCATGTATGATGCTTTTCAAGTTATGGTATTTATGGGTTTAGGGTATCTTTTGTACTCTATTTATTAATAAATATTATTTTTTACTGTTAAAAAAATTAAAAATAAATGAATTCTTGTTGGATTTTGGAATATATTTATTTATTTATTATCATTATTTCTAATAATAAAAGATTTTTTAACAACAATAATGTTTATTATTAAGAAGTATAAGGATACTCAACCCATTAAAAAAATCATTACAATAGTGTATTGAGTGTTACACCAAGCAATCCCAATTAAATTTGCAATATATAAATTCAACCTTTCTGTTGGATCTTTTAAGCACATGTGTTAGCTCATTTGAATTATTGCTTGCCTCCATATTGTTCTTAAAGCCCTCTAGCTACCGTCTAGCCCCAGCGGACTTCACGCAAAATGCGGGTTCCAATAACCAATCCGAGAAACATTCTTGATGTTGTCAGCCTTCCTGTTGGTCCTAATAAGTCCTAACTGTTGCCGGTAAGTACCAATTTAGCTAGTTTCTATGTGAAGAGAATATGTACCCCATTTTGCAATTCACCTATTTCTAATAAAAACAAAAGAACGTGGTTAAGGCCCACGCTGGTGCCTGGTGGGGTTGAGGCTCCAATCGCTAGGGTTCCAATATTTCAATGACCGAATCATTGCTTTTAGTCTTAAGTATAACGTCGGAGAACGAGGGCAAGTTATGTTATCAACTCTAAAGTTGCTCGATTCAGTGGGTAGCAAAGATCTCAAATTATGAGGGTAAGAAGTGCATATAAAACGGTTTCTAGAAATAGAACATGATAAGAATTGGCTAAAGGAGAATTGACATGTATTCTTATGTGGATATATAAACTAAATCAAGTTTGGTAGCTGAGTTTTAATGAGACAAACCCTTTTCTCAATGTACAAATTTAGTTTGTTTTACATTAATTTTTTTTTTATAAAAAAAATGGGAGTTTGTTGTAGTCTGTGGACATTTTTACAGTCCCTTAGTATGTGCTCCTTGTATCTCATGCCTGAAATTAACAAATAGATGCAATTAGAATTGTGTAGTTGTGCAGTCTCATTTTTTATACAAATATCAAAAAATAACATGAGTAAACAAATCAGAGGTCATGTTTCATAGCAAGTCTGAAATCTCGAATTTAACTTGCTTCTTCTGTATTATCTAAAAGCTGAAACAATTTCTAAATTTCTTTTGAAGCAAGTAGACGGAGACAAGGAAAGACATAGGCGGCTAGGAGTAGGACAGAAAATGGTTGGCCCACCTCATATTCAGAATATTCGTCGAAAGATCGTGAAGATATTTAGTATGATAAAAAAAGGACCAAAAAGTCAGAACGAAGTTCAATTTTTGGACCATTAAATTATTAATTAGTACTGTTGAGTAGTGGACTCTTGAAAGCCTTACTTTCGTCGTTGTTGCATGGTTTGACACAATTAATCAACAACTAATTAATAATATCCAAACAGTCAACGGAGATAATATTAAAACACTTGATGAATGCATATGATATTGAGCAACGTCGAATGAATACAATTCATGCAAGGAAAATATAGCCCTCTCCTCCCAATTTTGGAAAAGCGGCATTAATTTAATATCAGAATTTCGAAATGTTTGTTTAAATATGTAGTTCACCAACTTAATTTATTCAAAAGAGGTGTAATAAAAAATATAGAGAAAGAAAAGTGTTGCAGGTGTGCAGAAAAGGAGGACACCATAGAGCACTTGCTGATGGAGTGTGTGTATGTAGATGTTCTTGTGGGGTATCTTCATACTTCACAAAAAGGAGTTATGTAATAAAAAATATAGAGAAAAAAACGTGTTGCAGGCGTGCAGAAAAGGAGGAGACCATAGAGCACTTGCTGGTGGAGAGTGTGACAAGTTGCTACTCTTGATGGGGTATCTTCATACGTCACAAAAAGGAGTTATGTAAAAGATGGGTTATGGGAGAGTTTGGGTAGGTTGCTATTCTTGGTGGGTTAACTTTTTTTTTTTTTTTTTGTTTAAATGGGAATTGTCATTATGGTGGGTTATCTTCATGCTTCACAAAATGGAGTTATGTAAGAGATGGGTTATGGGAGAGTTTGGATAGGTTGCTATTCTCGGTGGGGTATCTTCGATTCTTCATACTTAACAAAAAAGAGTCATGTAAAAGATGGGTAATGGGAGAGTTTGGGCAGGTTGCAATTCTTGGTGTTGGTGACGAATCTTCGTTTCTTTACAAAAAGGTGTTACGTAAAAGATGGGTTATGGTGTCATGGTTTTATGCTCCAGTTTAACTTGTAGACTTGTAGTCTATAGAAGGACAATGGGCTATCTTTAAAATAAAGATGGGTTATGTTACAGGCCCAACTGAAGGAACGGGGCTTAACTGGCCCGAATCAGAGAGGTTAGGCCGCAAAACTTAAATTGTCCATATACACACAAACGTTGCAAGTGGCAAGATGGTATAAATAAAGAGGATATTGTTTTGCAATTTCGCACTTCAACTTTTTTAATAAAGAAACCCTTTACTAACGACTTATTGGTCGAATAAAAAAAGATTAATTTTCCTTTGTTTACACCATAAATTATAAAAATTTAAGATCATTTCATGTGTCAAAAATTTTTACATGGATGGATGTGATTTGGCCATATTAGATATGCAATTCTAAACCCCATAATAGATTAGTTGTCACATAGGAAAAAATGAGGTAAAAAAATAAGATTTTATTTTTTGATTTCCTTTTTTAGTCAAATTGGATCTATTTTAATTGAGATTTAGGAGATAGTTTTAGTTATGGGTGTAGGCTATTAGATAATGGGATAGGTGACAAAATCTAGAAGGAAATCTGACTCTGTCAACTGTTGGGATGTCTCATTTTTTCAAAAAAGTGTCCACAATTTTTGTAACTACATAGAGTGAGAGGTTTGTAATCGGAGAAGAGGAGAACAAAAGAGAAATTTTCAATCATTTAATACATGGCCAGCCCCTACACACAACCTGTAAATTTTCAGATTTTTAATATCTCTTCAATTGCTCACTTTTGCTTATAGATTTCGAATTTCAACACAATTCCCAATAGATTTAGGTTGTTTTTAATGCACTAAAATCACTCTAACAAGTGTACTAGTCACTTCAAATAATATAATGATGAGAAGAGTGTCGAACCCACGAGGATTGTGTCTAATTAAGTACCAAAATAATTAATCTAAATTTATTTAAACAATAAAAAAGGAGAATAAACTTTAATAAAGAATAAAAAGAAAATAACAATTAAAATAAAGTTAATCAAGATATGAGGTACTAAGGCATTGACTTTATCATAATCAATCAATATAAATTCTGGATTATCAAATTGTTGAGTGTTATTGCATGTAATGGGGGATTTCCCTAAATTAATTAACTAGCTTTCTTAAGTCAAGTTAATCCTTCACTTATTTGTTAAATTAATCATATCTATATGTAATTTTAAACAAACTAATGAGTATTAAATTCTATGGAAACCTTTAGCTTAAGAAATGAGAGCTCCTAACTCTCTTCTCTTTCTCCACTACCACATGTGAGCTAATTACCTCTCGGTTTCATAGTCTAACACACGATTTATATTATTATTGGTCTAATTTACACAATTCTTTTTCAAGTTCATGCATAAATCACTAAATCAATTGAAAGGTGATTAGGCTTCCAATGCATTAAATTCAATAATATAAGCTTATCATGCAAATAACTTTAATTGAAAATATAAAATCACAAAATCTATATTAAATTGATTAGGCTATATCGTAACCTTAGTAGAATAAATTAGTTTATAATAAAAATAATAAAATCTGAAATCACAATTATGAACATAAGAATATCTAAGGAAAAATAAAACATAATTTGAGGTAATCGAAATCCTTAATCTTCTATTGTTAATGGATCCTCTGTCTTGATCTCCAAAAATGCCCAAAAGAGGCTGTCACTAGCCTTTTCCAGCTCCCCTCAATTCTGAGTTTGAATGGGTATTTATAGGATTTTTAGAAACCCTAGTTAGAATAGAAGTAAGACTTGGAACATAATAAGAAACTTGAATTTTGGTTACTGAACACATGGTGCTAACATCCTGAATTATGTATCGACACAAAATAAGAAACAGAAAGTCTAATTCTGGACACTTGATGCATGGTGTCGATGCCCCGATTATGTGTCGACACAACACCCATGTCCAGTTTCGGGTCTGTTTGCAATTTCTTCAATGGTAAAATAGCAGATCTGGTCCTCCAAATTTTGTATGATGAGCACTTAGATCCTAAAACTCAAGATTCATTCATTTAGGTCCTAAAGAAGCACCTTTCTTCTTGCAATTCAGTCCCTCAACTTTCATAAGATGTTCAATTAATCTCAAAAACTCCTATTATTATGCAATCAAGTCTTTTCCTGCACAAAGAATGGAAATCATGTAAAATCTTATAAAATTCATCCAAATATCAATAATATCAAGATAAAAACTCCACATTAATATGTATATGAATTCAGCTTATCATTTTTCATCATTCTAGTAATCAAATTAGTTCATGTATTCGTTTTTGCAATTTCGTTTCATGTTATGAAATTCAAGCTTTTGAATTTCTTTAAGATACCGTTCCTTTTCTGACTATAATTAGTTTAATGTTTGTGATAAGTAGTGTTTCATCAAATGATTACTTATATAGCATTTATGTTTCTTCTCAATTTCAAACATGTTAATTTAGTCTCTGTTCGTATTTGTTTTAGTGTTAATTAGGGTTAAATTTCTAATGTTACAATAGTTTAATTTCTAATTTTACAATAGTTTAATTTCTAGATCTATCTGTAGATAGTAGTTTAATCTGACCATGAACATGCTTAATGTAATTTGGATTCATTTTTTATTTGCGAATTTACTTTACTTTGCATGCCATTTAGCTCATTTAAGATCTGTTAACTTATTCACGATAGTGTTTAAGTTCTTAGAGTTGTTTAAGGCAAATTTAGTAACTCATTCTATAGAAAGACATTCCTCCCTCTGGCAAATCATTTGTATGTGTAGATTTTAGTTTTAAATCAACTTTATTCTCGCCATCCATAAGGAGGTTGATCGTGAGGAAAAGAAAAATAGGATGGTTGAGAGAAAATTCTTCTTTCTTGCTTTCAGCAAGTAAGTGATACGTTTACATCTAGATTTGGCACGTGTGAGGTTATTAGAGAATTTTTGAGAAAACACATTTAAATAAAATTTTGAGTTTGAGTTTTATAAATAGAGAAATAAATACTGAAAGAATAATGTAGTTTTCAAATATCAGGTGATTAGTACCAAAAAAATAAATAAACAATTTTCGTTTCCTTTATTTTTATGTACAAAGGTTTAAAGAAACTTAGGCACAATTTTTCTATGGGTATGATACTCCTAACCTGCTCAAGTGAGAATGATTTTCCTTTTTCGAAATATGATAGTGCACTAAGCTAAGGGGATCTGAGGGGCTCAGGCTCCCCTAAGCTTTTGTAAAGTTAGAAAGTTTGGTCTCTTAAATAACTTTATTATCATTTTAGTTATTTTTTTATTATTGAAGATTATTTTTATGTGAACCCCTAAATTTTGCTGTTTCGTGGTTTCACCCAACCCCTAAAACCCTTCAGAAGGCGCCGAGAGTTATGATTGGCCATAAGTTTATATATAGAGGTGAGATTCCTAAGACATGTGCTTTTCCTCCCTTTTTTTATAATTAAAAAAAATGTTATGGAGATAATTTTTTTATTTTATTTTATTTTATAATTTAATGTGTTTTTAAAATAATTAATTTTTTTAATTTATGTGAAATTTATGATATTAAATATATTTATTTATTTAATAATATATGAAAATTATATAAAAAAAATAAAACAAAAATATTATTCTTATAATACCATTCTAATTAAAAAATTTTGCGAAACAGTCACCAAAATATATATATATATGGACAAAAGGTACCTGTTTGCCCCTTAACTTTTTGACTTTTAGGGTTTTTACCCTCCATATTACAATACATGGATTTTTACCTTCAACGTTTTCGAGTTGAGGAAATGAGGCAAAATTTAACGGTAAAAAATCACGTGCGACACGTGCATGTTAATCTCTGTTATACCTTGACGTGTCAATGCCAACTCAGAATTCTTTTACATGTTGGCAAGTTCAGTTCA